AATCCAACAGCACATTAAAAAAGATCATAGACCATGATCAAGTAAGGTTTATCCCAGGAGTGCAAGAAATCTTCAATGTATACAAATCAATCAATGAGATACACCATATTAGCAAATTTAAAAATAAAACCCAGATGATAATAGATGCATAAAAATTTTCAAAAAATTTAACACCCATTATGATTTTTTAAAAAATCTATTCATAAAATTAACATAAAATGAACCTATCTCAACAAAATAAAGACCAAATATGACACACCTACAACAATCATTATTCTCAGTGGTGAAAAACTGAAAGCATTTCCTCTAAAGTCAGAAATAAGACAATGGTGCTCACTCTCACGATTATTATTCAGCATAGTTTTGGAAGTCTCAGCCATAGCAATCAGAGAAGAAAAAGAAATAAAAATAATCAAGTTTCAAAAAGAAGTAAAATTCACTGTTTGATGATGACATGATGTCATACATAGAAATACCTAAAATATCATGAGAAAAATACTAAAGCTTATAAATTTATTTAGTAAAGTCAAAGGATATAAAATAAATATCCAATAGTCCCTTGCATTTCTATACACTAACAATGAAAAATCAGAAATAAAATTTAAGGAAACAATCCCATTCATCATTGCAACAAAAAGAGTAAAATAACTAAGAATGAACTTACCTAAAGAGACAAAAATATGTGTGTAGTAGACAAGACACTGATGAAAGAAATCAAAGGGGAAACAAGTGGAGACATATATCATGTTCTTGGACTGGAAGAATCAATACTGTCAAAATGACTGTACTACCCAAAGCAATTTACAGACTCAATGCAACTTCTATCAAATTACTAATCAAAGTTTTCACAGGACTAGAACAAAAATGTTACAATTTGTATGGAAACACAAAAGGCTCTGAATAGCCAAAGCAAACCTGAGATGGTAAAACAAAGCCAAAGGAGTCAACCTTCCTGGATTTAGATTATACTTCAAAGCTACAGTCCTTGAGGTAGTGTGGTACTGGCACAAAACCATCAATATAGGTCAATGGAACAAGATAGAAACCCAGAGTTTAACTCATGCACCTATTGGCAACTAGACTTTGACCAAGGAGGCAGGAATAATCAAAGGAGAAAAGATAAGTCTCTTCAAAATATAGGGAAAACTGGAAAGCTATATGTGAAAGGATAAAATTAGAACACTTCCTAACAACACACACACACACACATACACACACACACACAAAATAAACCTAAAGTGGATTAAAGACCTAAATATAAGACCAGAATCTGTCAAATTCCTAAAGGAAAACATAGACAGAACACTCATTGATATAAATCACAGTAAGATCCTCTTTGACCCACCCCTAGAGTAATAGGAATAGTAGCAAAAATAAACTATTGAGACCTAACTAAACTTAAAAGCTCTTTTAGAGCAAAGGAAACTGTAAATAAAATGAAAAGACAACCCTCACAATGGGAGAAAAATTATTGTGTATGAAGCAATTTACAAAGGATTAACCTCCAAAATATATACCAGCACTTGTAGCTCAATATTAGAAAAACAAGCAACCCAGTCAAAAAATGGGCAAAAGACCTAAGCAGAGATTTCTCCAAAGACATATAGATGGCTGATAAATACATGAAAAAATTGCTCAACATCACTCATATTAGAGAAATGCAAAACAAAACTACAATGAGGTATCACCTCATACAACATATCAGTCAAAATGACCATCTTAAAAAAAAATGCAAACAATAAATGCTTAAGAGACTGTGGAGAAAAAGGAACCCTCCTGTACTGCTTATGGGAATGCAAATTGATACAGCCACTATGGAGAACAGTATCAAGATTCTTTGAAAACACTAGAATTAAAATTATCATATGACCTAGCAACCCCTCTACTACACATATACCGTGAGAATATCATATTGAAAAGCACACATGTACCTCGATGCTTATTGCAACACTATTTACAATAACCAAGTCATGAAAACCATTTTTATTTCCATCAATAGATGAATGTATAATGAATTTGTGATACCTCTATACAGTAGAATTTTATTCAGCCATTAAAATGAATGAATTTGGATCAGTTATATTGAGGGGGATGAACCAAGAGCCTGTTGAACACAGTGCAGTAATTCAGAAAGAGAAAAAACAAATACTGTATATTAATGCATATATATGTAATCGAGAAAAAATATTACACTTTATCTTACTTGCATGACAGGAATAGAAATGCAGATATAAAGAGCAGTCTTGTGGACACAATAGGGGGAGGAAGAGAGTGGGGCAAATTAAGAGAAGAGCCTTGAAACATACATTACTATGTATAAAATACATAGTTGGTGGGAAGTTGCTGTGTAACACAAAAAGCTCAACTTGGTGCTCTGTGAAAACCTAGACAGATAGGATGAAATAGGGTGTGTGAGAGATGTTCAAGAAACAGGGAATATGTGAGGCTAATTCATGTTGTTGTGTGGCAGAAACACACATTGTAAAACATAACCAAAAAAAAAAAAAAAAGACTCTTAAGCAGATAAAGTTACATCATAAAAACACTCTTATAATAAATGTCAACAATATAGGGGAGTAAGTTTGAATTTAAATTCATGTACTTTATCAAAATAGATATCTTAGCTCAATATGTAAATTACTTTGCATATTAAAGACCAAGAAAAAAATCAACATCCATAGGAATTAGAGTTTACCAGACCTTGTTAAATTATGCTTCCATAGAGAAAGATTCAATATCATAATGGCCTCAGGCCTCATGCCATAAAATTTCATACAATGAAAGTTATAATGCCAATTTTTTTGGAAAATGGTTAATATATTTTTATTATAAAGATATATGAAAAATGTCATTAATATACAAGAATAAGAATAACAGAAAACATGGAAAGAGAATTTGCCTTAACATATGTGTATACAGAAAAATACATCTTTAAATAGACAAATATATACTGTTATAGCATTGAAAATTCAGATATATGGATTAACTGGATTAAGTGGAAGTTTTTGAAGTAATTTATAATTTTAAAAGACAAAAAATGAGTTATTCAACTGAAAAAAAATAGATATCTGAAGAAATTAATTGAAAATGTATTTCAAGAAAATTTTGCACTAGAAAGAAAAAATTGTTGATGTGCAACCATATTAAGAAAAACAAACCATGAAAATTGTTTTAAATGACCAGATTATCACAAATAATAGGAATTCTATTCTAAAGGGTCAAAATTATTTTCAGTATCTTTTGAAAAATCTTGTAAATTCCCAAGATTTCAAAACAACAGAAATGAATTTTAGTTACTTTTAAGGAATATAAAAATTAAGATACAGACACTGTCCTCAAGAAAATGAAAAGAAACCATCTGTGGTCCCAGGGAACAGGAAAAAGCATATTTCATCTTGTCTTTCCCACTGAATAGAGCTACAAATTTGGAAAAACATAGCAAATGCATAAAACACAGTGTCCACAAGACTGGAAAAGGTCAGTTTTCATTTCAGTCTCAAAGATTGCAATGCCAAATAATATTCAAACTACACACAATTACACTAATTTCACATGCTAGTAAGGTCAAGCTCAAAATCCTTCAAGCTAGGCTTCAACAGTACATGAACTGAGAATTTGCAGATATTCAAGCTGGATTTAGAAAAGGCAGAGAAACCAGAAATCAAATTGTCAACAGCCCTTGGATCATAGAAAAAAACATGGGCATTTCAGAAAAATATCTACGTCTGCTTCACTGACTATGCTAAAACCTTTGACTGTGTGGATCACACAGTCTGGAAATATCAGACCACCTCCTGAGAAACCTTTATACAGGTCAAGAAACAACAGTTAAAACTGGACATGAACAATGGACTGGGTCAAAATCTGGAAAGGAGTATGCCAAGGCTGTATATGGTCACCCCACTTTTTTAACTTACATGTAGAGGACATTATGCAAGATGCCAGACTGAATGAGTCACAAGCTGGAATCAAAATTGCTGGGAGAAATGTCAATAACTGCAGGCATTCAAATGATAGACTTCACAGGTGGCTAAGTGGTTAAAGAATCCACTTGCAATCCAGGAGTCCCCAGAGTTTCAGATTTGATCCCTAGATCAGGAAGACACCCTGGAAGAGGGCATGGCAACCCATTCCAGTACTCTTGCTTGGAGAATCCCATGGACAGAGGAGGCTGGTAGGCTACAGTCCATGGGGGTCACAAAAATTCGGACATGACTGAAGCAAGTGAGCATGCATACAAGCATGCAGATGACACCGCCCTCGTGGCAGAAAGCAAAGATGAACTAAAGAGCCTCTTGATGAAGGTGAAAGAGGAGAGTGAAAAAGCTGACTTAAAACTCAACATTTAAACAACTAGGATCATGGCATCTGATCCCACCACTTGGCAAATAGACAGGGATAAAAACAGAAAGTGATAGACTTCATTTTCTTGGGCTCCAAAATCACTGTGGATGGTGACCGCAGCCATGAAATTAAAAGAGGCTTGCTCCTTGGAAGAAAAGCTATAACAAACTTAGTGTAATAAAAAGTGGAGACATCACTTTACTGACAAAGGTCCCTCTAATCAAAGCCATGGTTTTTCCTGTAGTCATGTATGTATGGATGTGAGAGTTGGATCGTAAAGAAGACTGAGCACAGAAGAAGCGATGCATTCTAAGTGTGGTGCTAGAGAAGACTCTTGGGAGTCCCTTGGAGAGCAAAGTGACTAAACCAGTCAATGTTGGATACTCACTGGAAGGACTGATCCTGAACCTGAAGTTCCAGTATGGGCCACCTGATGTGAAGAGCTGGCTCATTGGAGAAGACCCTGATGCTGGGAAAGTTGAAGACAGGAGTAGCAGGGGCTACAGAGTATGGTTAGATGACATCACTGACTCAACGGACATGAGTTTGGGAAACCTTTAGGAGATAGTAAAGGGCAGGGAAGCCTGGCGTTCTGCAGCCCATGAGGTCACAAAGAGTCGGACATGACTGAGTGACTGAACAATAACAGCGATAGCTACAAAGCCTCTACAAGAAAGTATGCAGCTTTCTGACAGCTCACAGAATGGGTAGAAGTCCACACTTCTACACCAAAATAACAGTGAGTTTTTCCCCCTCTGGTGGCATTATTTTCCCTCTGGTGTCCAAAGTCTGGGCACATTGTGTGAGAACTGGGCACTGAGGTGGATACAGAGTGACAGGGGAAATATTCTAGTCCAACTCAAAGTGGAGAAGGAGATTCCTAATGCTTAGAGTAACCCTTGTTCCCATGTTTCTGTTTTTGGCTTCTTTCTTAGTGTGCACCCTAGCTCCTAAATAATTTCATGGTGGTAGAGGTAGCTGATGGTAAGTGTAGCTGGCAATAACTCTGAGGGAAGGGAATTTTCCTATTTTCTTTTTTTTGGGGGGAGGGGTAGATTTTCCTTTTGCAAGAACTATTATTCCAAGAGGGTTTGGCCAAAACCTGTGGCTGTTTTTCCATTTTGTCTCTTCGCTGCTTGATCCTAGGTGTGAGTGCAATTGCCAACTGCAAAGCACAGTAACTGCCCCCAGCTTCTTGGCAAAAGGAATTAAAAGGGAGCCTAGGGAATTAGAATGTACAGGGGAGATAGCAGAAAAGATCAGAAAAGTGACCTTTAACAAGTTTCTGGACTCACCCCTGGGCTGCACAAGATGTGATCTGGTGCTATTCAGCATACCGACAGAAAGAATTGAAATAACAGAGCACCACTCATCTCCCAGCTTGGCCACTGGCAGAACACATCCAGATGTGAATAGTACAAGAAAACCTTAGAAAACTGAAGAAACATTGAAAACATAACCCCCAGAAGGCAGGTTGGAACTGACAGAAATGACCAGATCAACTACTTGCTAAAACAAATAAAATACCAATATTCTCAACAGGATTTAAGTAAGATCAGCATCTCACACATTGTATTTTAAAAGACCAGATTACAATATGCAATTAATATAGGTAGAATAAGAAAAATCTCAACATGTATGAGAACATTCAGTCAATAGATATCAATGTTGAGATGCTGGGTTTATCTAACAGAGAATTTATAGCAGCTATTAAAAATGTTCAAATAGTAACAAACACTACTGAAACTAATGGAAAAATCTCAGCAAATAAATAAAAGTTATTGAAGATGAATCAAATTGAAATTTCACAAATGAAAAATGAAATAAATAAATTTCACTGGGTGGGCTCAATTCAGAATAAGGATGACAAAGTAAAACATCAGTAAACTTTGAACATAGATTTGTAGAAATTGAATAACTGAATAAAGAAAGAAAAAGTAATGGGAAAAATAAAAGATTAATAGGCCATCAGACACCTTTAGGGCAGTAACAAAGTATTAGCATTTGTGCTATCAGAGTCTCAAAAAAAAAAAAAAAAAAAACAAAAAAACAAAGCAAAACCAAAGACAATACAGTGTTAGAAAAAAAGAAAAGAAAAAATAGAAAACCAATGACTGAAGAAGTTCCCTGTACTTTTGAGGGTGAAACAAGTAAACCTAAAAGTTAAGGAAATGCAGGGAACTACAAATAATAAAAAAGATTATTCAAAGCAAAACTCCCAAAATAACCATGTCAGGCATATAATAAAGAAACCACAGGAACAAGACAAAGATGAATATAGCTTGGCTATATTTATGCTGAATCTCTTGCTATTGAATTTAATATAATAAACATATAATCTTTTCTGATATGGCACAGGGCTTGGAACAACTTTTCTTATCCTATCTTGTTTTCAGGTTATATATAATGGTTCTAAAAAGAATATAACATTGCAATTTCTGCCTTTTAATACACTAAAATAAATGTAAAAAAACATAAAATGCCACTAAGGTCACTTTGACATTAGTGATTTAAGGTTATTTTCCTTTATGAATTTAATGTCCTAGTAGAAAAATGCTAAAATATTGTAATTTTCTATGTATTTGAGGTGTTTTTTTAATATGATATTCTGATGTGTCACATGAAGGTAAATTATTGTATATAATATATCCTTTTCTGTGAATGATACATCAGTAAAATTACTCTAAACCAATATACTAATTTGCTACAGTTTAGGAGAGTCTTCAGAAGATAAATCATTTTGGGCCAAAATTATGTTTGTGAAGGAGATTCATGAAAGTATAAGCAATAGAGATTTCAGGTTAGTACAATGCTACTTCAAACAAGTAGGTATAAATTGGTATAAAATTGTAAACAGAATTTTTTTTGTTAGTTATTATTGACATTTCTAACATCCTATTATTTTTCTCAATTTTTTCAAGTATCTCCTGCACCACAAAATAAATTTGTCTCTCTCAAACTCTATTCTTGGTAAAACTTAATGGCACTGAAAATTTTAGGAGGATTTAAAAGAAATCTTAAAGTAGGAAGCTTAAAGCTAATGTAAAGTCACATGAGAATATCAAAGTTCTAAGAAACATTGCTGGTTTTGATTGCTGAAAATCAGCCTTTAAAACATATTCAAAGGTAGCATTTCTTGTGATAGACAGATTTACTTTGATCTCTTAGAGTATTTTTCAAATTTTGGGGGGAGTTGAGATTGCTCTTCCTATTTAATCCCCACTCCCATTCCCCCCCCCCCCGCCACACACACACATCTAGTATGTCTGTTGATTTAATGATGAAGTATTCAGGCAGATAAAACAGTTGTGAAACATCTTTAGTCAGAATATAAGCATTCTACCTGTATAACTTCTTGAATAAAGTAAAGAGGCCCAAGGTTAAGATACAAGAAAAATGAATTCTTTTTAATGGCTGAGTAATATTCCATGGTGTATATGTACCACAGCTTCCTTATCCATTTGTCTGCTGATGGGCATCTAGGTTGCTTCCGTGTCCTGGCTATTATACTGGAGCCCATTATACAGAGTGAAGTAAGCCAGGAAGATAAAGACCATTATAGTATACTAACACATATATATGGACTTTAGAAAGATGGTAATGATAACCCTATATGCAAAACAGAAAAGGAGACACAGATGTACAGAACAAACTTTTACACTCTGTGGGAGAAGGCAAGGGTGGGATGTTTCGAGACAACAGCATCAAAACATGTATATTATCTATAGTGAAACAGATCACCAGCCCAGGTTGGATGCATGAGACAAGTGCCCAGGCCTGGTGCACTGGGAAGACCCAGAGGGATCGGTTAGAGAGGGAGCTGGGAGGGGGGATCAGGATGGGGAACACATGTAAATCCATGGCTGATTCATGGCAATGTATGACAAAAACCACTACAATATTGTAAAGTAATTAGCCTCCAACTAACAAAAATAAATGGAAAAAAAGAGAAAAAAAAAGATATAAGAAAAAGCAAAGAATCCTGTTTATGCTGGATGAAGTGGAAACAGTTCAGATAACATCTGACATCTATCTGGTCTGTAGAAATGCTGCTGGTTGAACAGGATGAGATGTTAATTATAAGAATAAAAATCCCTACCTTTTGAATATCTGATAGATTTTTTTTTTAAGTTTGGTACAAGGAGAAATCAATAGAAGTGGAAATATAGTGTTAGATTTCTAGGTTGTAGAAAGAGTTGTTAAATCTATAATGTCCTTGGAAGCAAGACTATAGTAAAAGGTTGAATTTAGTATAAAATTTTAGTATCTTACTGAGGCCCTCCTAATATATTTCTGCTGAAAATAGTTGAAAGAGCTATTTCTCTAAGTGAATATTTAGTGTCATGCAGAATACCCTTTTTGTTTCTTTTAATATTGCTTTCCTTCCAACTCAAAGACACTGGTCATTTAAATGGTATAAAAACAATTCACAAATTTCTATAGCATGAAGTAACATTTTGGTAAAGATATTAATATGATTTTCATTTCAGCTTCACTTTTGAAAAGAAAACCATGTTAATTTGTACATTTTTAAGTAACCCATGCCCATAATATTCAAACATTAGTAAACAAATATATTACTTAAATTGCTTCGGCAAAATAACTAAGTTAAAAATGAGTGCTATTATTTACATGAATTTCATTTAGAAGTGGGTTATAGAAAAAAATATGGGTATAATTTAATAGTGGAAATAAGGAAGAAGTGTTAATACATTGGAGGAGAAAGCAACACTTTCAAAGTCATTTAGTCCACAGTTTCCACAATTTTAAGTTTTCCTAGGTTGTAAGTGATCCTCTTCTAAAAAATTGCATGATTTTTTATGTAATTGTGGTTCTTATGAAGTTTTTATTTCTGGCACAATGAACATGTGTATTATCTAGGTGCTGTTAGCTTTATTTTAATCTCAACAAAGAAAGAATTGTTTCCATGTAAATATTGGTGCAGTATATGACCCAGGATTTGGTGGTGGGGAGGGAAATATGCATTTTGACTAGTAAATAATTTTGAGGATTATGAAAACTGTCTTTTTTGCATAGGTCAAAAACTAATAACATTCCTAACAGATATTAAAGCAACCTGGTTTGGGTCTCCTGGTACTTATGGAGAAATCTTTCAGACTATGATAATCAATGTTAATATAAGGGTGCCCTTGTAGGAGATATAATGTATACTAAGTTTCATGGCAACCCACTCTAGTACTCTTACCTGGAAAATCCCATGGACAGAGGAGCCTTGTAGGCTACAGTCCATGGGGTCGCAAAGAGTTGGACACAACTAAGTGAATTTATTTCATTTCAAGTGTCTCAAAACTTGAATCTACAACATAAAAAGGTTATGAACAATGTATCTACACGTCTTTTTATAATTTTAAATTCACTAAAATTGGTAAATCATTTATGAAATGACATAATTGTAAAAATATCCTGTAAAGAAATCTTAGAAAAAAAAAAAAAAACTTGATAGAAGTGGAAAACTTCTGCATGTAAAAATTGCAAACTGGGAAGGAAAATAGAAATTAACTTTTATGATGTCCTGGGTACCTGATCACTGCTATCACACATCTGTGTAATTTGATAAAGAGGGATTAGAATAATTTAAATAGGTTTATAAATAAAAATTAGAAACATCTTATAGGTGGTAGGCATCATTACCATCTTACCTGTATCCTTTCCTTTTAGGCCTGTGACCCCTTGAAGTAAGCTGAGGTCACTTGAGATTTTCTTAGATCAGTGAAAAGTGAGGGCAAGTAATGTGCCTCATTTCAGGATAGAAACATTTAAGAGTTGTCCGATCCTTGTCTTCTTCTTTGCAGGTAACAAATGGAGGTATAATACATTGAGGTAGCTGGGATATCAAGCCACTAAGTAGAAGAAATCTGCTTCCAGAGCTTCCCACTGATTTACAGGAAGAACTAAGCGTCTGTGGTGTTAATCTTCTGAGATTTTGTCTTCAGGCACCACAGCATAAAATATCCTATCCTGAGAGAGATTCAATAAATTATTTAAAACTGGTTGATGTGTTTTTCTACTTGAACGCAAATTTAAATAATAAAATACCCATTAGGAATTAAAACATCAAATACTACTTAGGAAAATGAAAATTTCATTTTTAAAGTCAGAAAAGGAAAGCAAAACAAAGGCAGCTCCAAACACACACACAAATTCAAAACTGTCGGCTATTCAAAATCTCCTTTGACTCCACATGAAAGATCGGTAAAAATGACCAACCTTTTCATGGAATTAAGACTCAATGAAATATACCTTTCCATTTTTACTACAATTAGTGGGAATGCTCTCCAACTAATTTTCGAGCACTTTGATGAAAAGTGTAGAAAGATTAATGGTTTAGAACTGGGATATGTGAGTGACACTCCAACTCTGCCTTACCTCATGTAGACAGTGACTTTGAACAGCTCACAGGATCTCACTGCAACTGATCATAGATACAGTTAAGGGAATAGATAGCAGATTTCTAACAATTACTCAATTCCAAAGAAAATCTATCTGCAGGTCCCTGAATATTTGCTCTACTTAGCACACAGAGGCCGGTTTGTGTGTGCGTGTGGTTGCATGCGTGTGTGTCTGTTGTTTCATCTCCCTGATCTCTCTCTTTCTTCTTCATTGCTTCTAGGGCTTAGCAACATTCCAGGTCCCCAGCAAAAAGTCACTTTCTCCACAATGCTTTCATTCCTTTTTCATTAAAAATTGTCTCTGTTAAACTACATCTCTTCTGCATCTATTAAACAACCTCTCATATTTCCATGGTGGCTCAGTTGGTAAAGAATCTGTCTGGGATGCAGGAGACTCAGGTTCATTCCCTGGGTTGGGAAGATTCCCTGGAGAAGGGAATGGCAACTTACTCCAGTAGTTTTCCCTGGAGAATTCCCAGCTCCTCTGTCCATAGAGTTTCAAAGAGACACAGCTTAGTGACTAACACATGGTACTCATTATCATTTTATTTTGCTCATTAACTATTTTCATATTTTACCTGTTTTTCTAAAATGCATTTAGTTTCTCTAAAATGCACAATATGTGCTTACAAGCATTGTGCCACAGAATAGTTACTAGAATTCCCTTAATGTCATATATGCCCTAAGCATACTTTTAAGAACAATGAGCAAAAAATGGCCAAAAGGACCTAAGAACAAATATAAGGAAAGGAAAAGTTGAAGCAGGACTTCTGCTGAATTATTTTCCTGTAAGTATTATTAAAAAGTGACCACTACCTGTATTCCATCATTTTTTCTTTTACTTTATTAATTCATTATCCCAAATATTGCATTTCTATTTACTTTCTCTTATCTAAAATCAGAGAACTTTTACCTAATCTAAATCTTAGAGTTACTGAGTAATAGTTCTTTTTGGAGAATTTTACACATCACTGATCCTTAAAGAATGGAGAACAATAACATCTCAAAATGCATTATAATCATTTTGAGAGCAGAAAATCTTATCTATCTCATTCAGGATCTGTTTGATTTTGTTGTACATTGCTTATTGTTATACTGTAACATCAAAAATAAATAAAGTTCTTTTAATGGTTACTTTTAGTTTCTATATTTTGATAAGACATATATTTCTTAGCTTCAAAGTTTTTGCATTTTGAAAAGCAGACTGATATAAATATAATTTCTACATATGTTCAAAACATTTACTAGGTGAACAGAAAAATAACAACAAAACACAGACCATATCCATGTTTGTGCCTGTGTTCACCATTCCTCTCTACCTGAATACTCAGGTAGCAAATATCCAGAATACTCTAAAGAGATACTTCATGTATAATAAAAGAATGACATTTTAACTTTCAAGTACTATCAACTCAATCTTGATTTTCATAGTGGTTAACAAAAGTTTTTTTTTTCTTACATACTGTTATATTTAATATTCATGTAATAATGAGATAGATAAAACACATATCATATATCTAAAATATTTATCTGTAAAGAAATATGGAGATAAGTTTAAATTATTTGCCCCAAATCAAGCTGATATAAGATTTAAAGTAGTGATTTGAGTCTAAGATTTTTAATTCTAATCTATATACACAGTATTCTTTCTCCAATAAGTGTAACATCAAATTATCCATTTGGAAAGTTTTAATGCATTTATATTTTTTAGCTCTGTTAAATAATTAATCTGACATACTAATAAAGTAGAGTTGTTTTCTAGATGCAAAATTTTACTGTTTTCTGACTGTGAAGTCATCCATAGTCCTTTCCACAGCCATCCATAGTCCAACACTCCAAAATTATGTTAAGGAATTATATCTTCCAATTGAATATGATCTGCTGAGACCATATCAAAGACATGTCCTCCCATGGCCAGTGGATTAAGCTCTTCAGTCAGAGATTCCCTCCCAAGATGGTGATTCTGGTGAAGTGCAAAAAAGGGTAGACTTCACCTGTCATGAAGCCCATCTTGTGTTCAGTCCTTGGATCTCCACACCTGACTTCATACTAAATAGTGTCAAGGTGTTTACCCCAAGTCTTTCAGTAAATTCTAATAGTTCATTATACCTTCCATTATACCTTATCTGGATTTAAATTCTCCAGGGGTATCTGTACTATTTGGAATTGAAGAATTCTAGTATGGTCATCATCATAATATTCATTGCCAGTAAATTATATATCATTGTTAAACACATTGTCAAACACATTATATATCAATGTTAAACATATATTTAGCAAATCAAATATAATGGTTAGAAAACAAATGAATAACTGAATTATTGAATAATGAATGTAGCATTGCATATAATATACTCTCTGCTTTAAAAGAGGGGTCATATATAGCATTCATATATAACACCCATCTCAAACAAACAACACATTAAATCAGTCACTTAGGAAATGACATCTTGTTACTTGTTATTGAGAGCTTGAATGCACAAGATATGATTACCATTTGGGAATGGCAATTGTTTTTGAATTCTTTGGATCTAAATTGCATAGAAATATCTTTATGAGTTACTTTTTCAGATTTAGACAAAATGCCACACTGCAAATCTGTTTAAGGTTGTACATTATGTGTTTGAGTGACACTTTTTTTTTAATTGTTGTTCAGTTGGCAAGTCATGTCTGACCCCTTGCAATGCCATGAACAGCAGCACACCAGGCTTCTCTGTACCTCACTATCTCCCAGAGTTTGCCCAAGTTCACGTCCATTGGATCGGTGATGCTATCCAGCCATTTCATCCTCTGGCACCCACTTCTCCTTCTGCCTTCAATCTTTCCCAGAAACAGGGACTTTTCCAATGAGTTGGCTGTTTGCATCAGATGACCAAAGTATTAGAGCTTCACCTTCAGCATCAGTCCTTCCAATGAGTATTCAGTGTTCATTTCCCTAAAGATAGAATGGTATGATCTCCTTGCAGTTCAAGGGACTTTCAGGCATCTTCTCTAGCACCACCATTCGAAGGCATCTACTCTTTGGTGCTCTGCCTTCTGTGCTATCCATATCTCACAGCTGTGCATGACCACTGGGCAAACATAGCCTTGACGATACAGATCTTTGTTGGCAGAGAAATAGCTCTACTTTTCAACACACTGACTAAGTTTGTCATAGCTTTCCTGCTGATAAACAATTGTCTTCTGATTTCATGGGTGCAGTCACCATCCACAGTGATTTTAGAACGCAATAAGAGGAAATCTGTCACTATGTCCCCTTTACCCCTTCTATTTTCTATGATGTAATGGGGCCAGATGCCATTATCTTAATTTTTTGTGTGTTTAATATTTAATCTTAAGCCAGCTTTTACACTCTCCTCTTTCACCCGCATCAAGAGTCCCTTTAGTTTCTCTTCATTTTCTGTCATTAGAATTACTTCTTAAGGCATGCTTATTCCAAATGCTATCTGTGCACTTTATAAATTATACAGGTTTCCTTTATCTATGTCAGTAACTTGTTTATTTTTCCTTTATACATAATGTGTCTTTGATTGGATTGGAAGGTATCATTCTGAAAGCAATGAGACGCTAATAGACTTTTTGTTATTAGGTTGCTCATTATTTTTAATGTAGACAGAATTTATAATACTTTACATTAGCATTCTAAAATAAGACTACATTAGCATAGATATCTATATCAGTTCAGTTAAGTTCAGTCGCTCAGTCATGTACAACTCTTTGCGACCCCATGGACTGCAGAACTCTAGGCCTCCCTGTCCATCACCACCTCCCAGAGTTTACTCAGTCTCATGTCCATTGAGTCAGTGACGCCATCCAACCATCTCATCCTCTGCCATCCCCTTCTTCCATCTTCAATCTTTCCCAGCATCAGGGTCTTTTCCAGTGAGTCAGTTATTTGCATTAGGTGGCCAAAATATTAGAGTTTCAGTTCCAACATCAGTTCTTCCAATGAACACGTAGGATTGATTTCCTTTAGGATGAACTGGTTGGATCTCCTTGCAGTCCAAGGGACTCTCAAGAGTCTTCTCCAACACCACAGTTCAAAAGCATCAATTTTTTGGTGCTCAGCTTTCTTCACAGTCCAACTCTCACATCCATACATAACTACTGGAAAAACCACAGCTTTGATTAGACAGACCTTTGTTGGCAAAGTAATGTCTCTGCTTTTTAATAAGCTGTCCTGAATAACTTTTCTTCAAAGAAGCAAGTGTCTTTTTATTTCATGGTTGCAGTCACCATCTGCAGTGATTTTGGAGCCCCCCCCCCCAATAAAATGTGTCACTGTTTCCATTGTTTCCCCATCTATTTGCCATGAAGTGTTGGGACCAGATGCCATGTCCTTAGTTTTCTGAATGTTGAGTTCTAAGCCACCTTTTTCACTCTCCTAATTCACTTTCATCAAGAGGCTCTTTAATTCTTCTTTGCTTTCTGCCATAGGGGTGGTGTCATCTGCATATCTAAGGTGATTGATATTTCTCCTGGCAATCTTGATTCCAGCTTGTACTTCATCCAGCCCAACGTTTCTCATGATGTAATCTGCATATAAGTTAAATAAACAGGGTGACAATATACAGCCTCGATGTACTCCTTTCCTGTTTGGGA